AACGAAAGTGTAATCAGCAAAGTATTAATCCTAATACAAGCCTTGAAAAGGAGCTTCATGTTTCAACCAAAAAGTCATTTGTGTATTTCCTCAACAAAGTAGGAGAAAACGGCAAACAGCATCATAGAAATGCTAAAATTCCTTCAATTTTTCTAATTAGAGGGTTTTTTCGAAGGAATCGTTGAAAAAGAATGGGGAAAAGTTATATGGATATTACCAGGCTCATTTTACTTACAACTAATGACCTAAAATTCTAAAAACTGCTGTCACCTGATCAACTCTTCGTGAGTATGACCAACCATCAGAAAAGACAAGCGAAACCTACATGAAGAAAATTGGGTTTAAAAAATATATCCTCAGGAATACATTCAATGAGACAGAAAACTGAAAAAACTTCAAGGAACTTCAATCTGATCATTAGTTCTCACTACTACAGGAGGAGTCAAAAAAAAATTCCGAGGAGAGTACAGAAATAATTTTTGCAACAACAAAGGGAAGTGTTGACGCTTGAAATGTTAATACTTACAATATTGCAAAAAAGGTAACAGGTGAAAAAACGTTACTTCTTTGCCCGGCAAAATCCTTTTATGTGATTTGGAAAAATGAATTTTCGGATTACTGCGCCCCACATTCCACCTTTAGCGACTCCCTGAAACTACATAGCTTTAATGCACTAGGACAGTAGATTCGCAATAATGATTGTGTATCATTATTAAGGTCCTGAACTAGAATGTATTAAAGAGCTTAGTATTTGTTCTTATACAAAACAACATATTAAGCCTTTTTCTTAAGCACTAACCTTTCAAATATTTTCAAATTTTGCACAAGCAATGCAAAACATGGCCATGACGCATATGTTTTTATTTCCCGGCCAGCAGTATATCCATATGGAGGTATAAGATGCCAGGCAAATGTCCATCCTATGGAAAGTACCGGTAGCTAAAAAACTCAACCTTGTTTGTTTTGAAGGCATTATTTTACAGATGAGTTTTGAAGTTATTTAAAAAGCATGATGATCAAAACTCCTTGCTGTTCTTTAAATGTTTTTAAGAAAACTTGAAAGAACCAGTGAATTTTTGTTTGTACCTTTGACAATGATACAAGTGACCTTTAGCAAGACGTTCAGCGTAACATTCTTCAGTACGTGTGGCCATTTGGCAATGTATATATTGATAAGACTTCTCTGGCCGTGGAATAAACACCAGTTATAGGTCTTCATGTAAAGTGGCTCTTGTGTTCCGTGGGCAAAAAGGTTATTTTTCATTATGAAAAATGCGATAGTATTCAAAATGAGCAAAAATAATTTTTCGCTTAGTGTTATGAAAATATTTCACTTTTAATTTAGATAAAACAATAATAACATCTCAAAAAATGGGAAAGAGGAAGTGACCAATTAATATTCTTGAAAAATGAAAGGCCATTGCCCTACTAAGCATAGCCGATCGTAAAAAAGGAATCTAGAAACATGAATCAAGGCTACAAACCTTTTGTATCAGTTATGTAATGGGGGAATATTTTTTTTGACGGTCCATGCATCAATTATTGATGCATGTACATATTATCGGGCTGACATCTTGCCTTGTCTCTGTGACGAACTAGATCGTCTCTCCGCCCTAGATGTTTAAAAAATTACCCTTAAAAACTGTTTGAAACTTAGCGTATTAACAGTGAGCTGCTTTCTCTTAATTGCAATTGAACACAGGAATTATTTTTTTTAATGAACAGAAACAATTATTATTATTATTTATTAGGGCTTAATTATTTATTCAAGAATATTTTTATTAAAAAACCCTGAAGCATTGAACAGGAAAAACAAATTAAAAACAAGTTGAGGTTGAAGGTTCTATTTAAAAATGTAGAATGAAAGAACGTCGAACCAATGATATATTCTTTATGGCAGGATTAGTTTCAAGTATGTAAGTTGCTGTGTGGTATAAATCGAAAATAACGAAATATTAGAAAGCGAACAAACTATAAGTATCGAACTGACATAAATTGTGATAAAAACACATTTTAAGACCGTTTCGAGCATGTACTCGTTATTAAAGATGGACCAAAATTAAATCATTTCCTCTCTTGACTTAATTTATTCGCTCATTACATTAATCCTCATTTGGATATATCTTGGGCTCTGTGTTATATAAAGAAAAGATTAACCGCATCATAACACCCACTGCTGTTTTATTATTAATAATCTTAGGAATAAAAACAGATAAATAACCATCCATATAATTTTGAAGAAAGGATTTAATAATAGCAGGTTTGGCCTTAAAGTGTATATCAGTTCAAATTTATTTTGCAATGTTTTCTGTAGTTTTGGTACGCTAATCCGCTCGTAGCATTTTTGTGTTTATTTCGATTAAGGGTAACTAATATTTGGCTCAAAGTTTGAACCCCGTGGGGAAAAGCCGCGTACGTTGGAGTCTGGAACAGAGAGTAGCCCTGACGTAGATTACGGAACGCCTTTCTCAGTGTTTTGTTTTGTCGTACGGAGGTGTCGAGATGAGTTCAAAATCGGATTCAGGGAGTTCAGAGTCTTTATCAGAAGAAACTTCTAGTTCTGAACTTGATTATGACATTGAGCACGACGATAGAGCGATGTCTCCAGGTAATGATGCAATATAGAAACGCTGGTTGCGTTCAGGAGGAATGGAAGACAGCCTTGAGCCATATACTGGGGAGCCTTTGGCTGACGAAGAATGGCTGAAAAGCTACAATGCAAGGAGAACCAGGACCGAAAAGCAGTCTGCAGTGTTAAACAACAGATTTAACGGACGTTTGCCCATAAGTTTGTGGTAAGTTTTATTTTTTTGGCATATTACCCTCGCTTGAATGTTCGCCAATCTCATCGAAGCCGGGTAGGCCCTCCATATTTTGAGAATCGCCAATCTGCATCTAGGCCTACACTGCCATTCCCATGTTTTTATTCAAAATTAAGGCCCGTATAAAATTCGCTCAAAAACAAGTTTTTCTAGAACTTGAAGTGTAGTTTGTTATAAAATAAAGGAGTGATTTTAAGGATTCGAAGGCAAGGTAGGTTGAACCAAACCTAGTCAAAGTCTAGTAGAATACTGTTTTTTATTTCCGAAAAAAATTTGGCTTAAAATGTAGGATTTAATAAACTGGCCCTCCATTCTTAGGAAATTGATTGTATGTAGTACAGAGATTTTACAAATAAAACCTTTGAAGCAAAAGTACTGAGTTGGAAGCAGTAGCATCAGCACTGACAAGTGAAATTGTGGTGGATGAATTTGGCTCTGTGCCTAAATGTATTACAGAGCATCCAGGATTTAGGCCATTGTGCCTAGAGCCCTGGTCACTGAGATTTGCGGCTGATAAATACAAAACGAAGCTCAAAGAAAGATACAAGAAAACAAAATCAGATTTCAGGTTATTTGTGTATATTTATATAGTGAAAAATACAACAACAATAAAGCCTTTGAATTTCCGTAAAAGTGTAGACCTTATATGGTTCAAGGGTCAGCAGTTTTCAAATAACATAAGATCAGGATTAAACCATTATTTATTTCTATGGTAAAAATATTGTACAGCAAATGTTTAAAACTCCTTGTGGCAATCTCATCAATTAATATAATAAACAACTACAACTAGTAGTTAGCTAATGTGGAACCAATAGTGCTGATGACTTTTCTTGATCTTCAGGTTCTTTCGTGCTGTATCATACAGAGAATTTACAAGGCTCGTTCATGGACGTCTGGGAACAGAAAGGATCCCCCTCCCAGCTTGTGCCTACAATGTTATCCGTCAACAATTTTCAGAACAGGACTTAGTTGGTTATCATTCGGAATAATTATGATAATTATAATGCAATTTTTTAATGATGGTAACCTATTGGCCTGAGCTAGTTTTCTAAGGCAATCAAAGACTGGTCATATTATAACATACTTGATAAAAATCTTATTGCAATGTGTGCTTAAATATTTTACTTTATTTACAAAATACAAGGCTAGAGGAGTGCTTGGCTTCTTTCTTAAGGCTGTTCCAAAAACTTGCCCCCCCTAGTAGGAGAAATCCTTTGGTGAATCTTGTTTTTTACAGGGCAAGTTCTGATTTTCTGGTGAATCTTGTTAGCTCTCTATTCAAACATTGTCTTCTTCTAGTAAAAAGGTTTTGCAAATATTCAGGGCATATATAATGTATTCAGATTACCCAGGATTTTAATAACAGTCCTATTTCAAAGCCTCTACAATCAATTTATTTCCTTTTTGCCAGGGCAGCCCTATATAAAGTAGAAGCATTTAGGTTCAGCTTTATGATGTTTATGTACAATTTCATTTAAGTCCATCAACGACAATGAGTGTTGCCTCCATCTTCTAATTGTATGGTTCTTTGGATCAAGTTCTTTGTACTAGAAATACAAGAATCATAGGTATCTCATCATTAAGAATTGTTTCAAGCAAGCTACCAACACAATTTTTAACATGTAAATTTATATTGTTTTTTTCTATCAGAAGTTTGCAATCTTGGTTTTCTAGAACACCGTAATTTTCCAAGCACAATTTTCATTATCATTGACTGGTAGCAGAACATGGAATGATATTTACTATATTTACCAGTACTTGTAGATGGGACTGCTTCAGTGATCATTGATTTTCGTGCAATGTGCTTTGCTATACTGGCAGCTTTGTCCTGTTTATCAAGCATGGTATTCATTGGACAGGGAGTTGACTCTATCAACTCTGAAAGGACAACTGGCAGGCTTTCATTTATAACGGACTCTTCCATGAATTTATAAATTTCATCAACATAATCTGTAAAACCCAAAAATAAATTTTAATAATCTGATTTTATAATTTGCTCTCTAATATTTGCAAATATTATTGGTTAGTGGTCTTCATGTCATGGGTGACACCAATGTTTCATTCAATATGTGATTGGTAACTTATTTCTTTGGTAACAGGAATGATTGATATCAAAGTGCAAGTCTAGCCTCAAATAGATTATGTGAGAAGTCTAAACAACTTTAACTTAAAGGGTAAGCTATAAGTACAGAAAATGGTTTCACAAACCAAAACATTGCTGAACTGTGACAGCTCGTACTGTAGCAACTCCATTCTTAAATTTTGGGTACATCACCCTGTATTGGTTTGTTCCATCTGGTTTACGTTTCGCTTCTCTCTGGAGATTTTTATTAAAATGTAAGCTTGCGAGTATGTGTCTAGAGAAAATAAGTTGAATATTATAGGATACCTTGGAAGTGAAAAGTTATCTCTCAGTAGTCAATTGAGAGTGCGATGAGGGGTTATAAACACTAAAATCTGTTCAATTGACTGTATATAGAACAACAATTTTGGAACACAGCAAACTACAAAACAAAATAAGTTAGCTGCAGTTTAAAAACAGAGTCCACAATAACTATGTCCACTTTTTATGCAAATTTCCCCATATTCTAGAGATTATGATTGTCACATTTTTTTGTCTCTAAGTATCTTGCATTGGCAAATAAACTGTCCATCTCTTATTTGCCATTCATGCACCAATTACCTATTCACTTTTCAATTGATTAACTGGCAAGTGTGAATTATTTGTGGAAAATTAAGTGGTGAATGAGGGGTACAAAGAGCTCAACAACTTTTGAGTGCAGGTCTATACCACATACCTACAAACCATGCCAGGGTGGCTAAATGCAATCATTTTGGGTGCAAAATGATTCAATACTGAGTGGAATCCCTCCAAACAGCTTGTTTGTGACAATGGCGATGCCTGTAGGATTCCACTTTCTAGTGTCTTCTTTGTCAAAATTTCCTTAAATTTTTCATGAACTGTTGAACCTTAAAAAGAAAATACTTTTAAAAAATTGAAAACTTCAATGAAAATACATGTGACAAAAAGTTAGATCACATACACACATTTTGTGAATCTTTTTATCCTGCATAAAAGCTCAGCCTGTATAAAGGCCCATGGGCTTATACCTGTGTCTTAAAAGTGAGAAACATTTCAGAATGAGGGCGTAAAAGATACTTCAGAATAGAAAATTCTTGATACTAAATCAATGCCATTTTCTCTTTCAACAATATGTTTAACCATACATTCTGTTTCTAAGATATATACCTTAACAATTATGTGCATGGGACCTCTAAACCCTTACCCCTCTTGTTGTCTATTTGGCCACACACAAAAGATCAAATTTATATACCTTCTCATAATTTAAGGAACTCTATAGATGATAGACTACAAAAAAAACTTGCCTTTATCAACCCATTTACGTTCTCCAATACTTTCGGAATGCGCACATTTATTGAACAAATTGTTCGGAAAATTTTCATGCTCATTAACAATGTGATGAAGAAACGACTGGAATTTTGCAAGAATCAATTGTCCATCGCCATTGGGTGTGGACGTTGCACTCCAATGGAGATGCTTGGTACATGGTTGAACCCAGTCTTCTAAAGCTTCATACCCTTTCCTCTTTGAGAATTTTAGCAGCTCTTTTCTAAGTTCTAAAAAAATAACATAATCGTTGATAACTACAAAATTGACTCAGAGTGGATGGAAATTTCCGAATGAAGTTTACTGAACCAGATTTGAGAGATGTGTATAAAATCTAAGCAATGTTATAATCAAATGCATTTGTTTATATTTATATTAACTGTGTTCTACTTCAAAAAACCTTTCACACTTGCTTTCAGAATCCATTTAAAAATTAATTTATGATTTTGTTGAATCTCTCCTGGGATAAATGTGTGCCTTTCAACTGCATAAGAAGTAGTCAACTAACTTTTTTTAAGGTGCCATAAATCAAAATAGTGCTTGACATCTTTGTGGTCTACTCTTAAAGCTTTCCTTATTGTCATATGTCGATCTGACACAAATGTTGATACTTTCAATCCAGCACTCTCCATGTTGTTGAAGCATCGCTTGAAACCTTCAAACTCCATTGCCGGACTATTACCCACTTCATTACGCTGAAATGAAAATTCAACAAACATAAAGAGCTGTATAAATAGACATGCTCTAACATTAGATAAATAAATAATTTCTCATAATGCTGATATCAATTGTGATTGCAAAAAGAACTTACATCTCAAGAGATCTTCTAGGCTATTAAGATACCTTTGTTATTATATACATGTGCAGCCATTTTTGTGTAGTTGAATTTGAACATGTGAATAAGATTAAAACAAAAGTCTCAAATCGTTTTTTCCTATAGAACACAAATTTTATATAAATAATATAACATTATTCAAGTTAAATAGAAAATTATATGGTTTTCAGTTTTATACTACACACAAAAATAACTATATTTCATCATCATATATATAATAATGCAACTAAAATTTAAATGAAGAATAAAAAGCTTTTGACCCTCTGATGCTTGAACTATATCATTCAGTGAGTTTCAGGAAAGCTGTTTATGAAAAGAAACCTATAAGCATACTTACTTGAACAATAGAAAAGTCAATTATTTTGTTGTTGTTGCAGCAATATATGGTGTATGCGCCATATTTTGAAGAGTGGCCCATGCTATCATGTCGCCCATCTCCGCAAATAATAAGAGGTTCCCCTTTTTCCTTCAAATCGTTTATAGTCTTTTCTTGACATTGCTTCCAGAACAGATAAACAGATGGTATAATTTTTTCCTACAGAATACAAATTTTAAGCCTAATATAAATAATATAAAATTATTCAAGTTAAAAAGAAAATATATGGTTATTTTATACTACACACAAATTTATTTTGTTTACTACACATAATAATAACTATATTTCAACATTATATATATAATAATGCAATTAAAATTTAAATGAAGAATAGAAAGCTTTTTACCCTCTGATGCTTGAAGAAGGTAGTCAAAGACAAACATGCCAACCCCATATGGTTGAAAACTCTAAATATTTTACTGGCTGATGCACCAGCCACAAGAGTAGCAAAGGACAGGAGCAGGTTTCCAGCTGGGATCCTGGTTCCTTTCATATCTGGCTGACTTCTCCACACGTTTTCATTTGATGGGCACTGAATACTGGAACATGTGGTTTTCACCTCCACCATGGTTCCAATCTGACGTGTGGTGATAAGAGGATTTGCTGTTTTGCAGACAGGACACAACTGAAACAACAGCAATAGCTGTGACATAAAAACAATAAACTTTGATTCATTCCTGAGGTTGTCATCTTTTGAATGTCTGAAATAGAATGTAAGAAATGAATTAATGAAGATGCTTACAATTTAAAGCCAATTTAGGCAACATGACAACTAAATGTGATATTTTAAATTTTATCATTTGACAAGAAGGCAAACAATTTAATTAGCTTGTATAAGAACCAGCACAAAAATCCAAGTAAGAAAAGTAAAAACATACCTATCATCAAATCCAATCTCTTCATCAGACTGATCAGTGTCTTCTTCAATATCATAATCTACATCTTCCATATCTTCTAGATGGACATTTTCTTCATCACTGAAAATTTCTTCATCTGTGTCCGAAGCATCAACTTGATGGTGAAGAGGTTTTGGTGGTCTTGTCTCACTTCTTAAGGTTTTCACTTTGCCTGGATGTACTACAATATTGACAATATTTATAGGGTTCATGCATTAATTAAATCATTATACTTTACATAATTCATGGTTTCTCTACCACAGGTAATTTTCAACCAGAAACAATTTAAGACATTCTTATATAAGATTTTTTCATTTTACAAGAATAAATTGTTTGTTTCAAAACTTTTATCCAATTACATGGGGATCAAGGTCATTTGGAAAGGATTATACATTGAACAGAAATACAAATCAGTGTTGCATTCTCAAAGTAATTAACCATTCTTCAAAAAAACATTTGAAACGCTTTGCAGCCAGTTGCAGACACCTGGGGGCACAGGGGTGGGGGTGGGGCAGGGTGGAATCACCACCAACATTTTGTGAGACATCTTTTGTTCAGGTGCACATACCTACTAGCCTTTTGCACTTTTGTCTTTGTTTTTTTAGTTTAAATTTACAAGAAAGCCAAAGACTTCTAAGGCGCTGATTTTGACCAGATAACCATTTACAGCCAGTGCAGTTGTCTGTCTGACATGCAACACTCTTTATCTAGAATTGAAATATATGAGCGTGTTAAAGATTTATTTGCAAATTCGAAACATACTATCCACCTTCCAGTTATTAAATAGTGAGGTTTTCATGATATTCAGGAATCCACTTACACTACAATCTTCGGGTATTTCAACCGATTCTTCAACTTCTGCCGTCTCGGAACAATGCAAATCTGTGGCTGATTCTTCCGTTGCGATGGACGCAAATACGTTCTGAATGGTCTGAAAAATTTTAGAACTTTTGAAAATTACCTTACCACAGCTAATATGATAAATCATGTAAATTGATAACTGCCGTTAAGAAGCGAATTTAGGTCTCTATAAGTGTTACATTTCTGAAAACGTTAAGACTGTTTACCTGGCGATGTGCCCTAGACCTCTTTGGCTTAGGCCGTGTAAATTCTCCAGTCGCAACCAGTGCAGAAGAAGCTATAGGGTACACTGTCGGAAAGGCAAGGATGCCAAAATCATCGCGCTTCAACACTGCCTGTAGCCTTTCTGTTGGTCCAAGCAGTGCCGTGAATTTTCTTAGGAAATCCTCTTCTCTGAAATGATCGGAACAGACAGCAGAGTACTGCGACGGAATGAAATTCGCACGTTTTCGTTGAACAAAGTCAACCCATCTCTTTCTCCTGCGTTTGGCTTCTGGCCTTTCATCCTCCCAAAATGGGATACGATGAAGTGAAATTCCTTTCTCTTTACTCCCTTTGTCATTTTTATTACCACAACCATACACAACACAGCGATCAGGCATTTCGATGTGCGTGTTACCGTATTCTTTTACATATAAACAAATGGCGCTGCCTCAGTGTGTTCCGTAATCTACGTCACTGAGCACTAGACCCATGCCCCTTCAAATAGCGCGGCTTTTGCTCAAAAAAATGAAAAGTAAACTTTTTCAGGTGGCGAAAAAGGACCAAACGACAGAGCCTACCCTCAGAACAACATTGCTAGTCGATTCAGGGGTATGTTTTGGTCCAAAAAACACAATTTCCCTCACTGGCTTGATATACACTTTAATTTTAACGGAGCTTTAATAAAAAAGTGTGCATAAGAATACCTTTGCAAGAAATTTGTGTGATATCTTCAGCATCTTCACCTCATTTTTTATAGCGTCTGTTTGACATTCCTTCGCCAGTTCTTTGACAAGAGTGCATATGCCGCACTTGGTAAATTTGTTTCTCTGGTTGATATAAGCAAATTGAAAAATAGTGTAATTATACACAATTGAAGTATACTTTCTCATTGCAGAAAACTTGAAGCTTCATAAATTTTAGCTCTCTGTGAATTCGTACCCTTTAAACTGCATCAGTGCGTTAAGTTATGTGCCAAAATGCGTTAGTATGTTTAGGAAATAACTTTAGTTAGCTACATGGAACAACAACATCCAGGATTGATATAGAAATTCAGATAAAATCTGTGCATTGGCTTGCTACTTACTGGCGCGATGAAAACATTATCAAAATTTCTGTCCCAAAATTTGCGAGGCAAGATTTTTTTACAATATTATCGTCATTGAAGCCATTTTTTGCATTTCTGCTACGTAATTTTCAAATATGTCTTTCTTCGAGAAACAAGAGGGCAGGAAAACTTTATTTTCGTTGGGGGCATCGTCTCCGCAAATATCGACGAAACTCTCGAGCCAAGTTATCGCTCTAGCCACTTTCTCTAACTCTCGTTTTGTACCAACTTTAGCACTTTGTCCGGTGAGTCGTCCGTGAAAAATGGAATCTTCGCGCAAGGAATAGAATCTACAATGATACGAGCATATATCAACATTTTTCAGATACCTTTAAAGAGGATTATTCACCATCATAAGCTTGCTGGAAGCAAACAAAGTAGAACATGCTGCATCTCAGGTGCTTGTCAGGGTCAAGCCTTTATTGATTTAAATTGGAGGAATGAAGCCTATTGTTTAAAACAATGGAAAGTCATTGAGGCTGCAATGGCAATCCCACTCCCCCCCCTCGCTAGTTAGTCATTAAAGAGTGCTAGACGATATTTGAACAGTTTTTTGGTAAGAGAAATATTGCAAAAATTTTAGCCATACTAGGAGATGCGTGGCCATACTAGATAGGAATTGTAATCTTTGGGTGATAGCTGTTGTTTGTGAAGGTGCATCTGCAAATCGTAAATTTTTCAAACTTCATAGCAGAATGGATGGAAACAGTTGCCAAGATGTTGTCTACCGCACAATAAATATATTCTGTTGCGAAAGGTACATCTACTTTTTCAGTGATCCACCGCATTTATTGAAAACTGTTAGGAACTGTTTGTTAAATTCTGGTGCTGGTCAGTGTTCACGGTATATGTGGAAAGATGGCAAGCATATTATTTGGCATCATATAGTTAATCTCAACAATTCTGATCTAGAGAGTGGGCTAAAGCTTCTTTCAAGATTAACTAACGAACATATTAAGCTCAAAAGCTATTCAAAGACGAAGGTACATCTTGCAGTTCAAGTGTTGAGCTCAAGCATTGCTTCAGTTTTAAGAAAGTTTAGTTTCAGTGATCCACCACATTTATTGAAAACTGTTAAGAAAGTTTAGTCCTGAAGATTGTTCCGAAACAGCAATTTTATGCAGTCAAATGGAAACATTTTTTGACTGTCTGAATGTTAGGAGCCTGACAGAGTACACCAGGAAGAGAAAACGAATGCTTGCCCCTTACAGATCAGTAGATGATGGAAGACTTCATATTTTATTGGAAGATGTTGATTTTGATTTTGCCTAAGTGGGAGGACTCAATAACAAACCACAAAGGTGGATACAGTAAAGATGAACAGCAAAGGATGTTTATATCTAATCAAACTTTTGTTGGCTTAAAAACAACAATACTAGCTGTTGTGGAATGTATTCCTTATCTACTCTCTTCGGGTATGCCTTATGTGTTAACTGAGAGGTTTAATCAAGACAATGCAGAGGAATATTTTGGAAGACAACAGGGAAACACAGTGACAACGCAACTATCTACCAGTTTGGATACAACGCAAACACCATGAGGATTCAGCGCTCAATAAGAACCGTTTCATGAAATACAAGTGGAAAATATTCTGGTTTGAAATAGAAAACATCTTGGTATAATGTTGACAGTGGGGCTTTGGCCAAAATAAAGCGGAAGTAGACTGTAGGAAGGGAGATTGAAGAACAGCACCTGTAAAGTACACTAATTTCTTATGCATAGCTTTCGGACTTCTTTTAAAGTATTTAGCAGAATTCATTAGAACAATTCAATTAACTAAGGAATAAAAATTAATAATATTTTCCTATCTAACAAAGCTGGTAACTGCTCTTTGGCCTTTCATATTTTTTGTACTGACAATGATACTTCAAACAGCACAGCCCTTGCTGAAAGTCCCATCCAATTTTTTCAAATTAATTTGTATTTAAGTCAAATAAATTCGTATAAGCTTGACTGTATCTTGCACTTGTTTGGGAAAATAATATGATTACCAACAGCTTAATAATTATGAATATACACAATTAATCGCAAATGAGAACCTAACTGGAATAACTATGAACATGTGAATTTACATCTACTCAGACCACCTTCGAGCTCATGGTCAATTGTGTATCCTTGCTCAAAGAATCCTTGTTTTACCTCTCTACCCCAGCCATGTGTGAAAACTGACAGTACAAACAAAACATCACAAATGTCATCTAAAGTTCTCTTATTTACGAATATCTGATAAAAAAGTATTACAAAGTAGTTTGTCAAGCATTGAATTTTCTAATGATACAAAAAGGTTGGTTTTACAGTCATTCTTCCATCTTGCTTTTATCTGCATTGTTTTCAAGTTCTCTCCTTAATGCCTTCCCTTCTTTGAGTGTTGAATCTTTTGCTTTAAGTTTTTCAGTAATATCTTTAACAAAAGAAAATAAACGGACTCGAAGGTACAATGTGAATATTTTTTCTAACACATTAAAGGCAATCTCCTCCTACTTTTCACTGTAGCAGCTGCAGTCTTCCAGCACTGTGTTAAATTAATCTATCACTAACATGTTTTGCCCCAGAGTCCACCTCTGCTTGAAGTGGAGACAAGCACCTGAGATGCAGCATGTTCTACTTTGTTTGCTTCCAGCAAGCTTATGACAAGCTCTTTTTCTGGACAGGTTGGTTTAACTGCATGGCGTAAATTTCTCAATACAAAGTCACCAAGGTATTGAAATGCAGCCACATCTCTCTGGTTTGGCACAAATCTTTTGGATTCTTTAACTGTCGAATTTTCCCCAGTCAAAGTAACTTCATTAATGAGCTTTTCACATACTGTAATCAGTAGACGTGTTGAATCATCAACGGACATCACTGGAAAATATTCCATGGCATCTTGCACAATGATTTCCTAACATTTGCTGTAAAACTTCTCTTTGTTTTTTGTTTGCGATAACATCAAGCATGGTTTATCTTTTGATAAAATTCACTTTTGACAAATGCCGGCTGGTTAAAACAATCATCCTAGTGATTCTACAGGGAGAAAATTGTAAGTGCAGTAGAGGCAATAGAGGAGAAATTGGATAGGGTAATGGAAATTGAATTAATTGCCTAAAAAAGATCTAGTGAACGATGTGATTCAGTGGAAAGCTTACTATCGGCTAAATCTGAAGTTAGGGGGAGAAATATACGCATGAAACTTCCAGAAAGCAAATTTAATGGAAACATTCATGAATTCGTTGAGTTTTGGGACAGTTTCTGTAGTGCTGTATTCCATATGGAGATCTGGCCAACGTCGATGAACTAAAATACCTGCGAGGGTTTCGGTCATTTCACGACCAAAAAAAGTCTCACTTCCACGGGTTGGAGGTTCTTGGTGTGGATAAGATAACTTACTCCAGCATAATTGTTCCTGTTTTGATGGAAAAACTGCCTAAAGTGATTCGTCTTGGGGTGGTCAGAGAAGACTGGGAAGATTCACTTGGAATGGAATTTGGAGGAAATGCTGAAATCACAAGAAAGGAAGATAGAGATTTGAGAGTGTCGGATCCTGCTGATGAAGAATTCATCTTATGCCGGATTGGGCATAGAAGGATGAAGGCTTACTAGTAGGTGTCACGACGGAGGTGGAAAATCTGGAATTGGAACTGCCAGTGCCTTGAAGGAAGAAAGAACTGGGAAGGAAGAAAAGAAGAAATGCGTTTACTGTCTACAAGAGCATCCTCATGAGGACTGCCTCACAGTAACATCTGTTAAGGAGCGTAACAATATTTTGAAAAAGTATTTTAAATGTTTTGTTTGCCTTAGACAAAGCTCTTTGGGATACATAGCTCTTTTCAGTGTCTTTTAAATCGCAAGTGTAGTTGTTGTGAAGGAACACGCACAATTCTTTTTGTATGAACGTCCAATCTAAGGAAACAAAAGACGCGAAGCCCAAGCATAATGCAACCTGGCTTAATGCTAGTGAGGCTTCATGGGTAGGAAGTACAGGGTCAGATGAGAGAGTGGCATTGCAGACAGCCCTGGCAAAGGTCAACGAGAAAGAAGAATGTAAAATAAGGGTACTGTATGATACAGGCAGCCAGAAGTCCTTTGTGACTGCCAAGGCAGTGCGTAGGCTTGGTTTGAGACCAGAAAGAAAAGAAAGCTTGGAAATTAGAGCATTTGGACAGAAGGAGGCTGAGAGTAAGGAAAGAGATGTAGTGGAATTTTCACTTTCCTCCTTGAGAGGTGGAAAGAGTATTATCATATCATGTTTTGTTGTTGATGATATTACCAGTATTGTTAATGTTCATCCAGAGATAGTAAAGAAGCTATACAAACATCTTAATAATATATGGTTTTCAGATCTTTCTAGACAGGATCAAACGTTGACTGTGCAGGTTCTGATTGGTTCAGATTTTATCTGGCAGTTCCAGGAAGGTGGACCTTTGCAAGGGGGGCCAAATGAGCCAGTTGCAGGTAGTTTTTTTGTGGGAACTTTGTAAATTTCTGGCATGAGAAACTAATAAAGGATTGATAATAATCCCTTGCAGTCTAATAAAAAATCCCTTCAAGGAACAGTCTTTTTGAAGTAATAACCCTTCAAAAATGAGGTACTCATGAGTATATACATTAGAAAGTTTCAGTATGTAAATCACTACAGCTACTCAAAGAGGTCTGGATTCTAGCACGACCCAAGGATCAAGGGGAATCCTCGCCACGGAATACGGAAGTCTGCTACGCAAGAAGGCCAGTTTTTACGTACTGACGACTACACTGCAATTTTACAGGTAAGATCAAGTTTTCAGCTTGTTTTGCTTTGTTTTACTGAAGTGTCGGTTCACTCCTGTCTCTTTTACATTCTGTTTGCTTTTGAAGTTTAAACTTGCTTCGATTTTTATCGTAGTTTGCAAAATGGCAAGCTCACGCTGTCCAGTGTTCGTATAATAAGACTGAACATAATAATTTTGTTGTTTATAGTTTTTCCAAGTTCATTTGTGTGATCTTATGCAAGGAAAACTCAGGCCCTCTTTTGATTGGACATAATACGATGTTAAAATTCCCCCTAAAAGTATTCTGTATTTTTTCATTGAACTTCGTGTTTCCGTGCCTTCTCATTATAGAATTAGGCTGCTATTTTTGTCTAAATCCCTTAAACACAGTATAAAGTAACAAAGTCTTAACCCTATCTATATATAAACACAGAGACATGGCCAAGTTATATCAAAACAAAAATTAATCTTTTATTTTATGTTTGCAGAATGAAACATGTTTTTATTCTCATACTTGAAAAAAATTAATTAAAATACCTTATTAAAAATTTAACAGATCTTGGGCAGTTCTTTGAAATTTATCCTCTGTTGCTCCTTTTATTGATTTATTTCCTACTGTTCAAAAAAGTTTAAATCCATTAAATACCTTTGTTATTAAAAATTTATTCTGAGGTATATTAGACAATAATGTATTTTTAAAGCTGGCACCTAAGATGTATTCTTTTCTGTAAATACTATATTCTAAGTCA